CACACACACACAAACTTTTCAGACTGAGCCAAAATAATTCCGTTCCCCTTTCCCTCTATCGCAATGCACCCCCTTCGGAGGGGTGTGCATGTGTGTGCGTGTGTGTGACCATAGGCGACCCATACTAATCAGGTCTCAAAGTAAATAGCAGCGCAGGGCGATCTCAATGTAAATTGTGCTTGTCAGAAGAATCCCCCACCCTCCCTCCCTCCTTCTCTCCTCCCCTCCCCTCCCCATCCCAGGCAGTAGGGAGCAGAGAATAAAAAAAAAGGGGGGGGGGGTTCTTAACCAATGGAGTGAAGGAGGCTTGGCTAACCTTAGCCTCCCATTTTCTCTCCCCCCAATTCAGGGCTCTGACCAGTCAGTCGCCTTTGATTATCAGTTGCCAGCAGCCCCTCTCTTGGCTCCTTGACATGAGCTCCATATAAGGCAGCGATCTCCATAGAAACGTGTCAGTTTCAATAGTAGTGTCAAAGTTCACTATATACAGACATTCGCGCAGATCCCCCTTTCGGAAACATTGCTCTGCTAGGCTTCCCGTTTAAACGCATTCATTTTTTGGGTCTCTCTCTCTCTCTCTCTCCCCCTCTCTCTCTTCCTCTCTCTCTCTCTCTCTCTCTCTCTCTCTCTCCTTTCTTGCATATTCTATTAGTTGTTTTTTTCTTCCTCTCCCTCTTCTCCTTCCTTTTCTTCTTTTTTCCACCCTTCCTCCCAGTGTCTTTCGCTTCATTCCTGCAGAAGAGAGGTGAAACTAAAAAAAAAAAAAAAAAAAAAAAAGGAGAGACAGGGGGGAAAAAAAATCCCAGAGAGAGAGAGAGAGAACGCGTTCACCTCTTCATGCCAGTATTATTATTCTTTTCTTTTCTTTTTTACCATTATGGTCTATTTTTTTTTTATTTCGGGGGTGGGTTTTGCTTCTGCCTGATGAGTTTTTGCCTCTGAAATACTTTTTTTTTTAAATGATTCTTATTCTTATTTAATCAAACAAGAACCTTTTGTTGGGGGGGCGATCTCCAGTGGCTTTGGGAACCGGCACCGGGTGTTGTGAGCGGAGCAGAAGGAAGGGGCGAGAAAGAGGAAAAAGAAGAGGATTTATTTATTCGACCTACTTTGGATCTCTCTTTTTTCTGCGGGTGTCATTATTATTCAGCTGCTTCTTTTTTTTTTTTTTTTTGCTCGACTCTTCGCCGTGAATCCGGCTCCTCTGCGAATTAGTCACCTCCAGTGCTTTTTGTGTCATTCTTCGTCTTTTCCGAAAAGACCCAGAGAGGGAGAGAAACGACCGGCCACAAGAGCAGCAACAACAACACAAAATCAAACTGTCTAATCTCCGAGCCCTCCTCGTTCGCGCTTCCCAAGACTGGTTTCCTGAATGGCTGACTGCGTTGTGCCCTGGACCTGGCCCCCGGACACTCTCATCCCTTGATCGCCGGGAGCTTTCTCCTCTCTCCCAGCCCCGCGCCCCCAAAAGCGCCGGCAGCGGCGGCGGCAGCGGGGGGGAGCTCCAGCGGCACCAGGACCGGCCGGGCCCCGGCAGCG